CTAGAAAAGGACCTGAACTTGAATGCTACCATCTGCGCCTACTACTTCTGAAAGGAGTAGACTGGTGGCAGGTTTAGATGTTGAGTTCCCTGAGCCCTGGGCTTTTTGGTAGGTAGTAGGCAGACCCAGACATAGTATGAGGTGGGCTCAGGAGGTTGTCTTTATCTCCTTGTGGCACTGATGGTGCAGATTGGTAAGGAAGTAGCCTATAGGAGGGAGGGGGTGACAACAGGAAGTCTTCAGCAGCATGAAACCTGAGAAAGGATTAGTTCTATGGCAAATATCAGGCTTTTGGTAGAGGGCCATGCAGGCTTGGACAAAAGGCACCTCTGACCATTTTCTGTCTCATAAAAAAAGACCTAATTGGAGTATGGTGTTATACTTCAGTCAGCCATTAGGGGGCCACACTTCTTGATTCCCCCCCCCCCCCCCCGCAAAAGTACATTATTCATTACATAAGAATATGTTTTTTTCTTAAGGGAACCAAATTTGTTCCAATGTCTCAGAAGGCATCCAAGTGGGGGATCAGGTAGAATGGATGAGCTATTCACTATGATAGCTGTGTGGGCAGGAGGAATAAGAATAAGAATTAGGTCATGAGAAACCTTCAGTGCTTTTATGTACAATCATTCAGTTTCCTAGAAGCTTAGGAGACTCTAGATACTGAAAAGGAATCCCCAAGCTGCAGGGGTTCATGGCAAAAGAGATGTTGCACAAACATAAACCTGAGAGATTCGAGGAAGTTTTCTTGCTCCTGGTGGAGGCTAAAATTTTCCATGCCATGGCTAAGTTATCTTTTCATGGGAGTTTTCTTTTCATGTGGCAGACACTGTCCTGATATTTAAAGATTTGATCTGTGACTGAAATGAGTGACCAAGGGCACAAAAATTAGAAAGAAAGGAAAAGAAATATAAACTCTCCCCCCAAAAGGCCTTACCTCCTGGCTATGCTGACTTCGATGTTACCATGGATGATGGGTTCCCAGGTGGGTTCCCGGGTCCTTATGAATGATGAACAAAGAATTGGACATTATATGCCATGATAAGAAAAAAAGTAGCAAAGTTTAGTCAAGTGACTGTGTGCTTGGAGTGAGTGGGCTTGCTCCAGTGAAATGAGTATGGCACTAGTGATGAGGATAATGGATGTAGGAATTTAAAATGTTACACTGGGTCTAGGATACCTCTCACTGGGGCTTCCAGGGTGCTGAGTCATGTTAGCTGTGTCTACTACTCGTGTCCTTTCCATAATTCACTCTGTTGTAATTGGATGTATGAGATGCAGCCCACATGCATGAACCTTCAATGAGATTTAGGTAAAGAAAGTTTACTCTAGGTCACGTAGGAGAATCTGACACCCATACATCCTCTTGGGATTTTGGAATTTTCCAGGACAGGCTCAGGGTTCTTTGATTTTCTTACCTGTTCTGGGTAGTGAGCCTTAGGACAAAGGTTGAGGGGTTGGCTCTGGGACATTGCTCAGGTTCAGCTGAGTGGAGGGGTGTGGTCCAGGAGCAAGTGGAGAGAAATGGTCCTGTAGCACCAATTGTACTATTTATATTAGTGTGGTGCTAAAATCTTCAAATATTGTATTAGAATCTATTTCTACCCTTAGAAATAATGCTTGCCTTACATATTTGGGTGTTTCTGTTTTAGGTGTATGTATGTTTGCAATATCTTCTTGTTTAATTTCCATCCTAATAATATATAATTATAACTTTATCCCCTTTTATAGCTTTTGATTTAAAGTCTACTTCATCTGATATGAAGATAGCTACTCAGGCTCATTTTTTATTTCCATTTGTGCGATATATCTTTTTCAACCTTCCATTTTAGTTTATTCATATCTTTAGGATTTCTTTTTTTTTTTTGGTACCAGGGATCGAACTCGGGTCCTTTTTAGGATTTCTTATATGCAGCATATAAGGGTTTTTGTTTAAATACATTCAGCCAGCTATTTTCTTTCCATTGCTGTTTATTTACATTCAAAGTTATTATTGGTAAGTATGAACTTATTCCTGTCATTTTGTTAATTTTATTCTGCTTGATTTATATGTATTTTGTTCCTGTCCATTTCTTTTATTATTTTTGTGATTTGGTAGTTTCACAACATGCTAAATTCTAATTCTCATGGCTTTCTGTTTTGTTTATCCATTCTTGTAGTGAGTATTATACATTTGTGCTTTAATCATGCTAGTTATTACCTTTTCATATCTGTGGTAGGATTCCCTTAAGTTTTTCTTACACGTTTGGGTTGGTAGTGATTAATTTCCTCAGGTATTCCTTATCTGGGAAAGAACGTATTTCTCCTTCAGTTTTAAAGGATAATTTTGCTTAGTATTCAGGGGCAGAGGGATTTGTTTTTCTTTTAGTATTTTGTATGTATCTTCCATCTTCCTACTGTTTTCTTACCTGTAAAGTTTCCACAGAAAATTATGCTCTAAGTATGATGTGCCCACCCTTATATGTGACTTGACAATTTTCTTTTGTGATTTTTAGGATTCTGTCTTTGTTTTGTGCTTTTGACATTTTGACAACAATATGTTTTTGTGCAAGCCTGGTTTGGTTGATTCTAGTGAGGGCCTTTGAGCTTCTTGGTTCTGAATGTCCATGTCTCTTTGAAGATTTGGGAAATTCATGCCATTATTTCATGAAATAGTTTCAATTTTTTTTTTTTGTCTTCTTGAGTTTCCAACATGCCTTTATTTGGTGTAGTCACTTTGTCCCATGTCTTATAGGTTTCTTCAGTCTTAAAAATTTATCATTTTTTTTACACTGGCTGTGTTAAGTTTTGGACTGGTTTTTAAGGACCAAAATTCTTTCTCTTCTTGAGCTAGTCTGTTGCAGCAGGTCTCTATTGTGTTTTTCATTTTATTGATTCAAATTTTTAGTTTCTATTTTTTTATAATTTATAGCTTATTGGTGAATTTTTCATCCACATCCTCTGTATTTTCTCACTGATTTATGTTGCTTATTACATTCTTTTGTGTCCCACTGAATTTCCATAGAATCATTATTTAAAATTTTTTGTCAGACATCTTATGGATTTCCTTCAAACTGAAATCTCTTTCTGCAGAATTATTGTTATTCTTTGGCAGTGTCATGTTTCCTTTTATGTTTCCTGTGTCCTTACATGATGCCTGTGCAGCTGGTGTGATGTTCACTGTGTCATGAAGTGGAGTCCAGGCATTAGGATGGGTGGTAGTGAGACTTTTGTTTCCAGAAAATGGAGTTGCATGGTTTTGGGTTGATTAAGACATGTTCCCTTGTAAATGAATGTTTGCAAATCTCTGGATCCTGTAATTGGACTAAATGTAGATGTCACCTTAGAGAGGGCATCAGTGAGCTGTAACCATTAAGCTGTGTATTCACACAGCATCGTCCCCAGAACCTTCCTGTTGGGGCCCTCAGAGAGAAGGGTGGCTGCAAGTGCCCCTGTGAACAGGCATGGTGGCCCTTTCATCTGGGGCACTCTCTAGCCTTGATTTCATCATCACCACCACAGAGGCTTCAGGGTGGGGGTGCCGGTGCTCAGACACCATGGCCCAGGAATGGCCTCCAGCTGGAGGGTACAAATGTCTCTTGCCATCAGCACTCACAGCCAGCAGAGCTGCTCCTTTTTGGACAAAAAATAGAAAGAGTGGTGGGGGAAGCAGTTTTGCCCCTAAAGCTCTTCTGAGGCCATTTCTAGGGAAAAGGAGAATTCGTTTGCTCCATTCCCTCCTGTTATTATCTGCTTGGTGCTGGGCAAATAGCACTGGTTTGTGACAGTGTGGTGGGTTAGATATTGACACAGAGGAGACCAGGAACTCACAGCCTCAGATGAGTTACCTTGGGCAGTGCAGGCATCATGTTAACATCTGCATGTGGACTCTGATTATAGATTAACAGACACCAGGGGTGGGTGCTGGGGTGGGGAGGGACAAAGAGCCAGCAGGCGGGGTATGTGCTGGGTGGCAGGAGCTGGCAGACGGGAATACACTGGCTTCCAGGAATCCACAAAGCACAGTGCTCACTCAGGTGCCCTAATAAATGCCATCATTAATGCAAAAAAAAAAAAAAAAAAAGAAGACATGTTCCCTTGACCCTAAAATTTGTGTGCAGGTGTTGGTAGGAGGTATGGTCTTTGGTTGTTGCCTTCATATAGTTACAGGGTTTTGTCCAGCAGACATTCCAGTTTCTAATACACCTAAATGTGTGAAACAGGGAATTTGGAGCTGTATCCACCAGAGTCAATGAAATGGGTAGGGAATCTCCCTTAGACCATGCTTCATGAGTGTTGGCCATAGCTGATTCTACCTAGATCAGCCAGTACTTTTCCTAACTCTGGGAACATAGGCTCTGATGAAACTGGGATTTTATAGTGGTAGCTATATTCTTTTGTTTGTTTGTTTTGGTACTAGGGATCGAACTTGGGACCTTGTGTTTTCAAGGCAGACAGCTGCACCACTGAGCTAAATCCCCAGCCCTGTGGTAGCTATATTCTCAAACTTGTGATTGGGAATGAAATCTTCCCCTGTTCCCAAGTAGCAAGCATGGGTGGGTCTCAGGCTTGTGGCCAAGACAGCCACTGGTCCTGAAGTTTCACAACACTGGAAGTAGGAGGGCTATTTTCTACTTCATGACATACTCAAAGCCCCAAGACTTCTGGCAGAAACCAGTGCTCTCCTGCCAGTATCTATGCCATTAATTCATGCACAACATTTAAAAAGAATGTGGTGAAGAATCAATGAAAAAAAGTGAAATGATGTCAAAATGATTTTATAGAATAAAGAAGATGTATGAATACTGGAAATGGTTGTCATCTTTGATATTTGGGTCATCATGTTCTCTACAAATCTTTCCATGAGCATAGAGAGTTACTATATATTTGCAATAAAAATTATGCCTGATGATAGACGTGTTTTAAAATTTACATTTATGGTTTTAATTTCTCACCAGAGCTTGCTACATGGAACATATATTTTCATTTGTTTTACATATGTTATTCTTTTCTCTTGTAAGTCTACAATAATTTCCCTACTCTCATTATCTTCCAGAGAGTCATAACAGAATATTTAAAAATACTGTTTATATTAGAAATTATATTTTGGACAAAGAAAAAGAACACCAAGCATCGCTGGATATTAGCAATCCTAAGGATTTTATTGATTGTTTCTTGATCAAAATGGAGCAGGTAAAATGCAAATACCAGTACAGTTTGGCTTTCTTGATTGTTTGGTGCTGACTTAATTCTGTATTTACTGGGGGTGTTTAAATGGTCAGACCACTATTGCTTGACAAGCCCTTTGGGATTGTATTGTGTGCATAAAACTACACTAGACATCATGAAAAATTAAAAAAATAATTAGAATACATTGACCCTATTTAGAATATTAATTAGACCCTGATTAGAATACATTTACCCCTTGGGTAAAAATAATCTAGCTGAGGAAAAATGGAATCTGGTTTTTGAGACAAAGTGACAATTAGCTAGACAGATTCAATAAAATATAAGACACTAATAACTAAATAAAAAAATGAAAGAAATGGCATCACTACTAAAATCGACACAATTTATAATGATGTTAGAGAAGATATAACATGTCATTAAATGAAATTGGACTTGGGCCAGGGATTTAGCTAAGTGGTTCTGCCACCTGCCTCACGAGTGCAAGGACCCAAGTTTGATCCCTGGTACCACCAAAAAAAAAAAAAGGAAAGAAAGAAAAAAAGAAAATGGACTTCATCATTGCAGAAAGCGTACAGGAGAATGGAAAAGAATTCTAAACTCTCATGAATAGAAATTTTAGGCAGGCATGATATAAAGGCATAGAAATTAAGTTTGGGTTACCTGATCTCCAGCCTCTTCCATACTTACAGAAGTGTAATCTAATATTCACTCTCCAGGTTTTGTGTTGATTACCTTTGTAATGTGAGTGTCTTTGGAATCACTGTCATTACATAGGCTGGCAAATAACTTGTTAGATAATAGAATCAAATTATTCCTAGGAAAAGCACAATCAACAAATGGAATTTACCTGTGAAAACTTGTTAGTCACTGTATCTAATTTGTTTGTTGCTGGGACTGAGACAACAAGCACAACACTGAGGTATGTTCTCCTGCTCCTGATAAAGCACCCACAGGTCACAGGTATGACTACAGATGATGAACAAGTGAATTTCAGGAAGATGCTGGGAAGATATTGGTAGTATACTCATGTTGTTGTCTTAGTAAAGCTTTACTATTTAATCTTTTGTAATCCCAGGTGCACTCTGTCCACATTTGATGATAAGATTAAAACATCTTTGAGCATAATGGCATAATGACTCAAAAAAAAAAAAATGAAGACAGCATGGCAGCAAGAAAAGTGAGAAAACTCTGGTGCAGTGTTGAGTTCCAAGGAATTGATTCATGGCTGCCACAGCCAACATAAATTGGAATAGGATCAGATATTAATTTTTATTTTGAAAAGGCTACTTTGTGCAGCATACCACAAATAAATTTTCTCATTCTAATAGTTCTAATTCTAGTTTAGGGAAAAGAAAATTCTCCTTACTAAAGCATAAGTGGAAATCCTAGCATATGATAAGGCTATCTAAGATAATTCTAATCTACAAATTAATCTATAAATCTAAAATCTATAAACAGATACATCAGAAAGGTGTTTCCATTTAGGAAGATGATTGTTCTAATAGAATTATTGTTGTTTTTACTTATGGTGCTGGCAACTGAATCCAGGGACTTTGCATTTATCTATTTCTCCAGAAATTTTTATTTTTATTTTTATTTTTATTTTGAGACAAGGTCTTGCTCAGTTACAAAGTTTCTCAGTGCTCAAATTTTCATCTTCCCACTACAGCCTCCCAGTGTACTGAGATTACAGGCATGTGCCACCAGGCCTGGCAAGGATTTTATTTATTATTGAAGTCTGTTCCATAAAACTTCTGTTTAACAAAATAAAAATTTTAAGGTGGGTGATCAGTAATGAACAAATTTATTTTAATAATTTGCCTTTAAGAGTTTCAGTTATGTACCAGGTAAGAAATATGCTTTCTTTGGGACCTGTGTCAGAATTCCACTTGAATGTGAATAATTATGAATGAGAATTAGTTCTTTTAATATATGTTGCAGTAGAAGATGACAGAAAATAGTCAGCAAGTCTTCACCAAAACATTGAAACATGGAGAGTAGCTTCAAGGGCAATAATTAACTGAGTGGGGAGGTGATGTTAGAGAGGAAGAAAGACAAGCGGTGTTCCTGCAGTCCTTCTAAGGATCACTGTTTGGAAATAATAGATGTTAAAGAAGGCAGAGAATCAACTTGAAAAAGGAGGCTTCCCTTGCTTTGGTTCTCTCCACATTTCCACTCACCAGGTGACTGAGTTTTCTTCACAGGAAAAGAAAACTTTGCTCTTACAAGATTCTGAGCCTAAGAAACAAAGTCTGTGCTCAGAAGTCTTGGGCAGTGCCAGAAATTGTGAGGTGAAGAGTTGAAAAAGATGCTTGGTATGGGTCTACTACTCAAGAGACTCAGCTTTCTTGTTCATCTTGTTTCCTGAAGCTTGCCAATCAGATATATTCTTTAGAGAGTGAAAAACTGTGGAGTACAGACCTCCATATTTTTCCATCTTAGTAGAAAATTTGCTGCGAGTGTCCAGAAGAATGAATGAAATAAAAACATTCAATCGAGGGAATAGGCCATGAATTTCAGTTCATCAGGATTGAAAAGAAACATATAAAAAGTTTCAGAGAAATATCCCATGTCATATATGAATGAGTTTGATTCAGAATAGCATCATAATTCTCAGGAGTAATTAATATCTTCCTATTAATAAAATAGGGTATGTTAAGTCCTGCATATTTTCCCAAAACCTTAATATTTGTGTGTTCTTTGGTGCTTATTTGTGTATCTCTTTGTGGATATTGTTTATATATACTGCATCAAGATAAAGATAAAGATTCTTGTCTTCCCATATGAGGAAATCATTAGCTATGTTTTAGCATTGGGAAAGAAAAAAATAGAGTGTTATTGCTTAGAAATATGAATATAAGCTTCAGTAGAACCTGGTAAACTGTTCAGTGGTCACATTTTGGATGTGAGAGGACAATGGAACTCACGCACAAAACACACACACAGATATAGATCTGTTGTAATTGATTTAAAATAATATAAAGTTTTTAAAATAAATCAATATTTTAATAATTTAAAAATCAACTTTTGATTCCAATTTTATTTGCAAGGACAATATTTTGCTGTTTATTTTTAAGACATAAATCATAGTGTCTAGTTTTCAGGAGAGTGATTTGTATGTATCTTATCTTGAATCCATGTATCTAAGTGCACTTTTGGGCAAATAATTATATTTCTAATGCCATTGAGAAGTCTTTGTCACGCTCCATGTATCCCTGAATTGCTTTGACCAATGTGCCATTTTTCTCCTAGTCCTTCATTTCTTGTGTGTGTCTTACTAGCTAAGGTCCAGGAAGAGATTGACCATGTGATCGGCAGACAGAGGAGCCCCTGCATGCAGGACAGGAGCCACATGCACTACACAGATGCTGTATTGCATGAGATTCAGAGATACATTAACCTCTTCCCAAACAGCCTACCCCATGCAGTGACCTGTGACATTAAATTCAGAAACTACTTGATTCCTAAAGTGAGTTTATTCCTTCTACATGGAACCACAGGGTTCTCACTGTCTTCAAATTTACTGTATGATTCCAATCTCTACCAACACAAGATGATAAAAGTGCAAACATTTTGCATGTGACAGCTTGATGGACTTTATGCTGTTTTTATGTTTTGCAATAATGCTTTTTAATATATCTTTATCTCTGGTCATGTATGTCTTAAAAATTTATTCTACTTGTGTGATATTATCTCTTCTTAGGTATTTATACTGCCAAGTCAGTGTTAAAGGCTTAGCTTGTTAATATCCCAAATATTTTTTTAATATGAGGGTGATAGTAAAAGCATAAGTAAATTTTGAAACAGTTGGTTTTTTGACCCATTGAACTTTCCATTTATGAATTAGTTATATTCCCAGTTTATTTGGGCTGTTTTATTTTCTCACCAATGTTTTCAGTATAGTGTTTTGTAAATGTCATGTTAGATTGTTGGTATAATGAACACTTTTGTTGATGTGAGTTTTTAAAATGCCTTTGCCAGCTCTTTATACTTGCTATTATGATGATCTTATATCTAGTAACATTGCAAAATTTACTACTAATGACCAATGGTTTATCTGGAGATTTATTTCAACTTTCAGTATGCCTTCTCCTGGTTTCTGGGTTATTTTTTATTTCTTACTTTTGAATTCTGTGTGGTTAATTTGTCCTTATTGCCTTATTGCATTGGCTGGGAGTTTCAGGACAGTGTTGAACAAAGTTAGTGGTATTGGGCGAGCTAATTTCATTTCTGATCTGCAGGAAGGGATAGAGCTTCAATATCTCATGATGAGAATGACATCTTTAGCATTTGATTAATGTTTGTTTATCAGGTTATTGAAATTTACCATCTTCTATTATTTTTATGTAAATTTTTTAATGAAAGTGTGTACAAATTTATCAAATGTAGTCTCTGCATATATTGGTATAGTTGTGTATTAGCTACACTTACCTCACTATACATACAATTTACAAGTATGTACACACAATTAAGTTTTGTCTATAACATATTGTTCATGATTTTTCTATTTAAATTCATAACAGATATTAGTCCATAATTTTATTCTGCCAAATTGTCTGGTCTGATGTCTAATATCAAGATAATGGAAAAGATAAGAAAAGAATTTTCTATGATGTGGTTCTTTTCATTTTGGTGACCACATTGTTGTATTTTTGAGATTCTTAACTTTTGATTAATTTTGTTATTATATGTGAAAAATGCAGAATTTCAGAACATCTTAATCTTCTTCCAGAATGGGTACATTCTTCCAGAATGGGTACATTCCTAGGCAGTCATGATGACATAGCAATTCCTACTCTAATTCAGAATTGGATTTGATATCAATACAGTTGACACTTGACTGTAGTTATTACCTTATGTCACTGTTGCCAACATCTTTACAGAATTTTTAAATTTTATTTGTGTATATTTGCAGTTCATGTAGTTTACAGTCATCTTGGGGAATAGTTACATGTACATATTACAGCATTTTTTTCTTTTTTTTCAAATCTCATTCTCCTCCCTTCCCCCTCCCCTCCCACTCCCCTCCCTCTCCCTCCAGTTCCCCTATCTCCAGTTCCCCTATCTTCCTCCACTTCTCCTATCCCCATCCTATTAAAATTATTGTCTTAGCTCATGTTATGGCCTATAATATTTACATTAATTGGGGTTATTAGGTTCCTGTACATGGCATATCTTTTTTCTGCTTATTTCCCCTTCCCTTCCTCCTCACCTCTCATCCTTGTTCTCTTGGACCACATCCCTATTGCAAGAGGTCCATCCCTTTGTACCTTTCTACCCATCCTTTATTATTTTCTTTGTTTGTACTTTGCCTCAATCAAATGAGAGACATCATATGGTATTTAAGCTTGTGTGTCTGCTTTATTTCACTCAACATTATATTTTCCAGGTGCATCCATTTTCCTACAAATGTCTCAAATGTGTCATTCTTTATAGTCAAGTAGTATTAGATTATATACAAATACCACATTTTCTTTTTTCAATTGTCTGTTGAGGGGTATACAGGATGCTTCCAGGATTTAGCTATTATGAATTGTGTTGCTATAAACATAGATATGCATGTGTCACTGTAGTGTAATGACTTAAGCTCTTTGAAGAAGATACCTAGCAGGGGGACAGCTGGGTCATATGAAATTCCTAATTTTAGTTCTTTGAGAGATCTCCATACTGATTTCCATAACAGTTGTACTAGTGTGCATTCCCACCAACAATGAAGGAGGGTTCCTTTTTATCACATCCATGCTAGCATTTGTTATTGTTTTATTTCTTGATTGCCATTCTTTCTGGAGTAAGATGGAATCTTAGCATTGTTTTAATCTCTAAATGTATTAACAATTACATTCATATTCAGGAGTTATCATTTATCCAATATTTCTAATATAGAGCATATATTTAGATTTTGCTAATATTTATCTAATTTTAGTAGTTTTTTCCTTTGCAATTCAGGGTCCACTCAACCATAAGCACAGAATGGTGGTTATCTTGTTTCTGTACTCAGCTGCAACTAGAAGCAGTTCCCCTTTCTTGGCTTAATTCTTTTCAGTATGTTGACTTTACTGAAGAATTCAGTTCACCATTCATTTAAAATGTTCCTCAGGCTGATTTTGTGTGAATGGTTTCTAAAGCTTAGATTCCTATGATTTTGGCAAGAAAACTTTATACATGCTGTGTATGTTCCATTGAACCATGTAAGTAAAATGAAGATTTTAATGTTGCCTGTGCCAATATTGATTGTGCTAAGTTCCTCCTGCAATAGGGTAACATATGCCAGAATTGCCCATTGTAGAGGTTTGGCTTTTTATGTAATGAATAAAAATATATGCCATGGCACTTTAAGGCAGTATGAAATTCTGACTTTCTAAATCACTCACCCATTGTTTTAGCTTTAAAACAATGATTGTTGCCTGAAGTGATGATCCTGTCCTGAATTATTATAAAATAATATTTCCAATTTTATTATTTGTTTTATTTTCAGGCTGACTTAATATGTAACAAAGATCTTCTCATTGTTTATAAAGTAAGGCAGACTGTATGCAGCGATAAATTCTTAATATTTTTATATTTGTTTTAGACTTATTACAGAAGAGAACGTTGTTAACTAGATGTTTATTTACAAAGCTTTATGAACAAATACTAAAGATATTTCCTGTGCAGACAGAGGCTTTGATTTAAATATAACTCATGAGTTGTGTGAAATCTGCAGTGATGAAATAGATCAGCAGGTAGGGAGAGACACATACCCAACCTTGATGATAAAGAGGCAAATGCAGAACTTCTGGGAGCGAACACCTAGTACTCATTATTTCAAATGGGATTGAAGGACACCATTAGAAAGATCACTGCCATTGTTCTCTAACCCATCCCTGTTTGTTACAGATTCTGTCTATCTAGAAATACTTCTGACATGGTTTCCTCAGTTATAGATCAAAAGATTGCATTCAGTGATTTCCATGGTATATTTCAGCTCCATGACTTCCTTATAACTTGATCTATCTCTGCCTGTTGTTTCCAGGGTACAAGCATATTGACATCACTGACATCTGTGCTACATGATGACAAAGAATTTTCTAACCCAGAGACATTTGACCCTCACCACTTTCTAGACGAGAGTGGCAAGTTTAAGAAAAGTGACTACTTCATGCCTTTCTCCACAGGTAATAGAAGTTTGTTTCTATGTGTCTTCTGGAAACAAGATACTTTTCTGGGCTCTGTTACAGCTTACACTCTTTCTTCTCTGTAGCTAGTAGATTTCCTATTTACACATGATTAGAAGTACCCCACTTAATGCCCATGTATTTTTCCTGATAATGGTACAAGTTCATTATTGGGCCTAACTAGTGGGGATTTTGGTATTGACCAAGTTTTTCCAAACTGAGAAAGCTAGAATACAGTATAGGTTGATTGAATTATTACTCTAAATATATCACCTGAGATTTCAGGATAGAAAGTAAAACTCATTTAGACCTTGCTCACCAATGATGAAAAGATATACTATGCCAAACAATGATTAATTTTTCTGTGGCGTTGCTCACCTGCTAGCTTCATTATCCTGACTCAAATATCTACAACCATAGAACAGCACAGGAGAGCCTCACACTGACTGAAGTAAGCAGATGAGCAAACAGTATCAGTTGATTAGGAATATGGTGTAAAGGAGGGAAGCAAAGATTGCTTTCAGGGGTGGTGTTAAGGGTGAGAGGCCATGAGCTTCTTCCTCTCTCATTCTTCCCTCTAAAGAGTAAAATGGAAAACAAAATAAGTAAAACAGGAAACACATTTGAGCTGCCTCAAAAGGGACAGGGAAAATGGAAGGAGGAAAAGACAAAGCATTCTTAAGGAGGCAATGAACCACAAGAAGAAGATATTTGCTCAATTTTAAGGTATCAGAACATCTGCCAAACCCCATAGGATCACAAAAACATGGTGGATGTGGCAAGAAACCATGCAATTATCATTGAACTCTCTGGTCTTCCTCCAACTGCAGCCATATATCTTGAATATTGGATCTCCACACCAGTAATGTATAGTGAGTCTCTGATCTTGGAATCTCTTTTCTTCTTTCTGTGAATATCTTTTCTTATTTTTGATACCTGCTTTATACTTGACAATTCATACTATGGTGAAATGGACAGAACTCTATTTTTAAGAATTCATATATCAACACAATAGACAAATAAACAGAAAATTATTACTGAAAATGATCCATTCTTCAGTGAAAGCACACATGATATGGAGGAATTCCAGAATTGCAATATTTTAGTGCTTATAAGGATCACAAAGAGTATAGAAAATAAATTAAATTTGACCTACATCATGAATGTAGTATAAGAAAAATCCAAAGAGAAGCTTACATAAAATATTGGAGATTGATGAAAATTATTTATGTCTAGAGCTGGGAATGTAAGGCCTGCAAAATGGAATGAAAGATTGTGGAGCATCAGATTTGGAACAGAAACTTAAGAAATGTGTGTTTCTAGAAAAATGTAGATGAAAACCTGAATTGTCAAAAGAGCTCTTATGATGTGGAATGGTGCTTGGCTTAAACCTGATGCTCAATAAATATTTTTTTGAATAAAACCTTTTCAAGGTCAAATGTGGAGATCAAGTGTATGCACTCTTTATTCACTTGTCCATTCACTACCCATACACCCATCCATCTATCCATCTGCTCATCCATCTAATTATCCTTCAAACAGTTCTGCATATTCTCATTGTGCTCATAATAAACACTGTGCTTCTTATAGTCATAGTTTCAGACATGGAAGGACTATCTTCTATGTATGTCATTTTCCAGAAAATGGATGTGTTTGGGAGAGGGCCTGGCCTGCATGGAGTTGTTTTTATTTCTGACCACCATTTTACAACATTTTAACCTGAAATCAGTGGTTGACCCAAAGTACCTTGAAACCACCCCAATTGTCAATGGATTTGTTTCTCTACCACCATTGTACAAGCTCTGCTTTATTCCTATCTGAAGAGGACCTTGTTGGCCTGCTTCTCTGCAATTGTCTGCAATGTTCTCCTTTTGTGGATCATTCACATCCTTCCCCCATCAGGGATGCTTTCCTCAATGTCTCTTCTTACATTTCCTCATTCCTTCTAGATTAACCAAATGCCCTCCCTCAATTTTGGAGATTTCCCTGTGTCGCATCACAAATATATATGCTATTTCCTATGTTCTGTAACACACGCAATGACTATCACATTGCTAAATCTTATACAATGCTGAATTATTAATGATTAGTGTAAAAGCACAAAATGATAATTCAGCATAATTTTCCTTGCATATTATAAATAAAAATTATTATGAGTTCCTGGCTTATTTTTTATAATTTCTTTTATTATATAATGCAGGTGTGAAAAGAAAGAAAATAAAATTCACAGATGCCAGTTTGATCCTCACAATGATATGATAAAGACAGAATGTGAAGAGAAGGGTGGAAAAGTTCTTGAGTGTCACCTGGTGTTAAAGTTTGGATCTGCAAGATAGTATATCCAGCATAGCTCCAAACTAGAGGGAAATGTGAGAATCACCAATAGAGGCATGAATATTATTAGAATTCATGCCCCTGTTTTGGTATTTTGAACATAAGGAGTTAGAATAATCTTTTAATTTATGTTTCTAACTTAGAGCTATGTATGAATTTATGCTTGCATATTGCAACCTTGTGTTATATTATTCTCTTCTCTTCAAACAAGAACAACACATCAGGAAAGCCACACCAGTTTCTATAATTTTCCTACTGTTCATACATTCGTTTACCATCAATATAAATGCAACGATAATTTGCTGCCATATCCCTAAAGTCATTAACTTCATTTCATTTCCAGAATATACACAACTAAACAACCAACACAAGTTAGTCCTAGTTATCTTTTTCCCTTCTCTCTGTTTTGATCCACACAAATGAGAAGTGAAATCTATCATTATTCTTTTTGAGTTTATCTCCCTGGGGAAGCCTCTTTGTCAGAGTATTTTTTTTTTAAATTTTTTAAAAATTTTTCTTGTATTAAATTCTTTTATTGGTACA